TTTTTTTTTTTTTTTAGTCATCAGTAATTACCCTGTTTCTCATACTAAACCGTTAATTCTAAAAATCTTCATTTTTGTCAGTTTTTCTGGATACTGTGGATTTTGAATCTTTAGTTCAGTTGTTCAGTTAATTTCCATTTCTCTTTGTTTGGTTGGGCATGCAGTGCATTTTGTAGAGTTTATTTACATTATTTGTTCTTTGTTTAATTTGTGGACTTTGTTCTGCGAGTGGATGTTAATTTACCCAATCCCTGAATGCAGCAGTGACTGTGTAGTGCACTATTCAGGACACATTCTTTGAGATCATTTTGCAGAATGATGCTCTGACAGTTTTGATTTCTCTAGCGGCGACCATTTATCTCCTAGAAAGGCGTTGAAAATCACTGTGGTGACCTCTGTTGACTGCATAGGGAGCAGCTCACAGATTCGCCCACTGACCTCAGAGAGAATGAGAATCTCATCCATTAGACACTTCAAACTCCATTTCTCTGGCTTTCTCTTCTTTTGCATCTCAGGCTTTCTTGTACCTCCATCAAACACATCAAAAACAGCTTGTTCTCTCTTTTTTCTTCTTCTGTTGGCCTCACTCTCTCTTTTGTTCTAATTACCTTCTCATGTTCACTCTTTTTTGTGCTTAACCTCAGTTGTCATTCCTGTTTCTTTTCTTTTTCTGTTCCTTCTGTTTGTGTTACAGAAACCTATAGTTATTTACTAATTAATAATTTACCCATAAAATGCAGGCTTAGGTTGGAAAGAAGTTGTTCTACATATACATACACGAAATACAAGCTCTGTTCCCTAGAGAGCTGTCTAGCCAGACAGCATTATGATGATTCTTGATTCTGAGATATAGAACTTATATAAGTATAACTTTATAATTGCACTTAAAGTGTCGATTGCAATGTCATGTGACTAATGTTTTCTATAGTTGATGCACTTCAGAACCATTTTAATGTTAATGGAATTCCTTTGCAAATAAACATAGTAATTCAGCCATTTCCCTTATTTTACAATCTGGCATGAGGTACAGTTCCAGTGTAGACATAGTGAAGCCATTGCTGTGGCTTCAGCACAAAGTGGTTTTAGGAGATAACTTCTTATATAGACGGGTACAAGAAGGCAGCTCACAGGGTTTTGGAACAGAGCCATAGATTCCCTCATAAATGCATGGTCCAGACCCATAGATGAGAGTTCAGACAGGCCTGGGGCCCTGGGCACCTCATCTAGTAGGGCTTGAGCTGTTGTGTGGGTTACAGTCTATGACGCCTCTCCATGTTTCACCACCATCTCACCCATGACAGCAGGGAGACGTTGGCCAGGGATGGTTTGGGACGTGGATTACCTCTGGGCCAAGCTGGACTGTAAGACTTTTCTGCCTGCTTCCTCCATTAGGCATGTGGCCCACAAACCTGTCTCTGTCTCTCTCTTTCTCACCTTTTCAGTACAGCCTGCATGTTCCCTGTTTTATGACAGTGAATAGAGCACATAGACTTTGCTCCTTGTTTTGTTTTTTTTCTTAAACAGCTTCTTTTTAAAAATATTACACTTATGGAATGTAGCACAGTATATCAGATGAGCTTATGATGAAGATTCCACTATTGCAGACCGTTACCTCTGTTACAAAACCTAGTTCGTTACCAAATAAGCAACTACTTTCCAAGACAGCTCTCTAAGCTGAATGGAAAGATTTCCCCAACCCCCCAGCAAGGATGCATTAAATTGATTAAAAGTGACAGTAAAGTTCAAATAAATGCTATTCTTTTGAACTTTATATTCATCAAAGAATCTGGAGAAAAAAATCACAATTTGCATACAGTATATTCCAAATGTTAAGCAACACAAATGTTTTCAACATGCGAATATTACAAGAAGAAGAAGAAGATGATGAATGATGCTGAAAATTCAGCTTGGACCACAGGAATGAATTAAATTGTAAAATATAATACAATAGAAAACAGGTATTTTAAATTGTAATATTCATGTAATACTTCATTATTATTATATTTCAAATACTACTAATGTTGCTGCCAGTCGTCAAAGGCATGTCTATATAAAACCTTCAAATGCTGTCTATGTAGGCAGCTCACTAGGTTTTGGAACAGAGCTTTGAGGTCAGGGTCATAGAAATGTGTGGTTGTATACATGCAGGGTTTGGTGCCTTTAACGGTACATTCACACGGGGCGTCAACGTCGACGCTTGATGGAGGGCGTTTCTGAAGCTTGGTGTTGACGCGACCGTCATAGTGACAACAGCCAATCACGTTAGTTTTCTGGTGTTGCATGAACGCGATTTGCTAGCGTCTGCACCAGGGCATTTGCATAAGGCGATCTGATTGGCTGACGCCTGCGTTGGCGCTTGAAAAGTTGAAAAGTTTTCAACTTCTTCCGCGAGCAATGGACCCAACGCGGCGCGACGGACCCACAATTCATTTCGGCAATGCTTGACTTCACTCCATTCAAAGTAAACAAGAGGCGTTGACGCCGACGCCCAGTGTGAATGGGGCGTAAGTCATCTAATTGAGTTGAAAGTATTGGCAATGATTTAGTTTAATATCAGATGGTAGACAAGAGTTTCTCTGAAATATAACAGATTAGTGTGTCTCATTAAACATGTACAGGTTTGTAGGCCAGCAGCACCTCACAAATATCATTTACACTCTCACCAAAAGAAAAAAAATATCACGTTTTGTTACTTATATATCATCACCTTGCATCACCCGTTATTCCAGCGCAAACACCAAACAATCAGCTTTGTTCAGAAATAACCTCACATCGAGCCTCGTGTTCTGGTTTGGGCCGACGTCATTTCAGATTTCAGTTATATAACACAAGTTTAATGCACATATCGTGAAATCCTTTTGAAGTAGAGCTGTTAAATCACAGGTTTGTGTGTTTTGCATCCCGCAGCTTTTCTGTTCTGTTTCCTGTGTTAAACATTCTTTCATTCTCAGAAAACACAAAGACGAAGTGGGCCAGTGTGAATAGAAATGTGTTTCACCGTCTGCTTGTGTTGACAGCCACAGTCTGTCATGATCACTGTATGTTGTGTATGTTAACATTTTGTTGTGTTGTCCTTCCCTCACCCCTCAGCATTAACATCTAACAGCCATATTTTCAACAGCGTTCTCATTCTCTCTGTCACACACACACACACCCATGACGGTGCGCAGCTTACGTGTTGCTCTATTGTCTTCTCTCCCTCTTGCTGTTTAAAAACCATCATAGTTCTAAAGTAGTGAATAATAATCATCATCATCATCATCATCATCATAATAATAAAGAATAAGCAGGTGTGACCAAACTTTTGAGTGGGTTAGTGTATTAAAAAAAAAAAACATTTCTATCCTCCTGTGGAACATTTTGGTGTTTCCACTCGTATTTTTTTAATGTAAGTGTATTTCTGAATAATACTTAAAATAATATCATTTATTAAATTATATTACAAAAAGCATAAAAAATAGAAAACCATTTAAAATATAATTATATATTTATATATAGTTATTTTGTGTTTGGCCCATGTTATATATGTATATTTACTCTTATTCTCACATTTTCCTTGTCTTCTCTCCCTCTGTAGATTAAGTGTGTTACAGGTGTCAGTACAGTAACGGAAGGTAAGAGTCTCGGTCTGAACGGAGCTTGCGTTCTGTCACAGAGACCCCTCCCCTTTCCCCGGCACATCTACTCATCTTTCCCCTCTTTATTTCCACTAATGAGCTGCGTCTGCTCAGAGCTTTTAAAGGAACACCGAGGCAGAGCTGCATTGGGGCTGGCTGTTCTGAGCGCGCTCTGATTATGGACGCCGGCGGAGTAATCGTAACACAGTAGCAGCATGAATGGGTCGCCATCCTCCTCTCCTGCATGTCTCTGCTTTATTCTCTCTCTTTTTCCCCTCTTTTCTCCTGTTGCTTTGTCCTTTGGCGTGTGTCTGTTTGCCTGAGGCCACATCTGACACTAACACCTGCCCTACTGGAAAATGTCTTTGTCACTTATGCTTTTGTTTGGATTGCTGCAGGGAGCCAATGGGAATGAGGGCCACTTAACTTTATATATAACGGTCGAAAAGAAAGAAAGAAAATAGCCAAGCAGATGCCATCTTGACAAAGCAGGAAGCTTGTTTAATTTAGATGCTTTCTGGAGTAGCAGTGTCTCAGATCGCCAGCAGAATCCATATTTTGCATGTCGTCTTTTCTCTCATTCCATTGACATTTCTTTTCTGCAGCAAAGTGGAAGTGCTGTGTGGAATGACAGTTAACAGGCTGATTTTGAGTTCTCAGCTTTTTACTTAATGTCCATTCGCATCCGTCTCTATCAGAGGATGTTTTCCACTTCAGCAATGGTGTGCTGTGAGTTTGAAAGCAAGCGTATTAATATCATATCTCTGCTGATTCTTCACTCTGCGTGTAATATGTCCTCCCTTCCCAGGTTCCCTCAGCTGCAGCACGAGCACTGACCTCAGTGTTACTGTGACGACCATCGACTCCGGCGACCAGGTCTCGCCCACTATACCGCGCGCCTCTAAGAACCGGGTTTCCGGAAAGCTCCGCCGCTCGGCCAGCGCCATCAGCAAGTCCTCTAACTGAACACTTCCACCGGCCGTCAGACTGCATTGTGAATGAATGTATCATTTGACTCTAATGCTTTCCACCTGTTGTTTTTTTTCCTTTCTGAAGCCGAGTCGTTAATGAAACAACAAGAGAGGTTCTGATCAAGAAATCAATTTTCAGGGTTTGCATGATTGATTTGATTCACACGCTTAAGTTGAACCTGTTGATCAGACGTTAGTTAGTCGATCACTGTGATGACGAGCGCTTCTGGATCTTTACGCTCTCCACCCGGCTCAGCTTCAGTGTGGAAACGTAAGATGACCAGCCGTCTCTCGGACCGATAAATGACAGAAATCCCTGGCACGACAGATAGTTCAGTCAGCGTTAGAGAGGAGGTGCGTGCTGGCATCCCGAGTCCTCCTGAGATGTTCTCTGTGGACGTGTGGAGCGGACAGCAGCCCGCGCTCGTTTACTCCTCCCCGACTCCTTTCACATGCTGAGACCGTTGTTCTCCGCTCTCCTCCCCCTCTTTCAAAGAAGCCCTGGAGTGGAGGTCCTCTCCAATGAGCGCATGTTCCCCACACCATCTGCTCGCAGAAACTTGAGATGCCCGTAAAAAAAAAAGAAAACGGTCGAAAAGAAAGAAAGAAAATAGCCAAGCAGATGCCATCTTGACAAAGCAGGAAGCTTGTTTAATTTAGATGCTTTCTGGAGTAGCAGTGTCTCAGATCGCCAGCAGAATCCATATTTTGCATGTCCCATCAGCAAGTCCTCTAACTGAACACTTCCTCCGGCCGTCAGACTGCATTGTGGATGAATGTATCATTTGACTCTAATGCTTTCCACCTATTGTTGTTGTTTTTTTTTGTTTTGATGCCAAGTAGCAGTGAAAGTTGTCGCAAAATGATGTAGCTTCACCCTGCCGTGAAGAAAGAGAAACTGAATTTATGCTGAACCGAATCTGCGAATGTGAAATGAATTGCGATTTTCACAGCAATGCTGCATTTGGACTGCGATTTGTCCCAAAAATGTCCTTACGACCGAGTAGCGAATGAATAATGTGAGACGTTTCAAAAACCCTGAGGCATTAGCTAGTTTTTAATACTCACATTCTTTGAGCTTTTCTTCATGTCAAACACTGAAAACCGAATCATTGATGCATATGGGAGCGACTTTTTGTCCCGTCGCAGCACTGAGACGCTCTTACAGCGCTTTGGGCCAGTCTGAGAAAACACTGGCACTCTTGAATCATCATTCTACTTCAATAATGTAATCAGTGGCATCTGAAGTACAACAGACTGCATTGAAATCACTTTTGTTGTTATGATTTACTTTTAAGCAACTCGTTTGATCATTTTTTACGGAACTGATTTATGCAACATGCTGAATGGAAAAGGCACATGTTTGTATTTCAGTCGAGCGTGTGCTTCTTCATTTGTGAACTGAACCTGTCCCGTTCCTGTCATGTAAATCTACTCCGACATTCCAATGTTTTTGCACTCACTCGGTGGTGAAGATGCCGCAGGTCGATGTTTGTTCCGTTCTTCCCTCTGTATTTGAATGTACATTGCTTTCGATTTGATTTGATAATATATATATATATATATATTTGTTTCATGTTGTGTGTATATATATATATATATATGGAGAAATATCTGCCATCGTACTATACCTGACTAAACGGATGAGAAGCCCCCAGCTCCTCAGGTGAAGCTGTGTGAAGGGAGCTGTTCACAGTGCCTGTGTAATACCTGTCCGAGTTTTGCCGTTTTAATTGCCCCCACACTTCCTACACGGAGAGCAGCATTTTCCCGACGAGTCTTACATTTCACTGGAGTAAATTGAATGAGATTGTCTGCGTTTTGTGAGAGCGGCTTCTGTCTGATTAGATGCTGGATGGGGGTTCTTTTCCAGCTGCTTCCCCGATTCCCGCGTGCTTCTCCGAGTGCCAGCAGCATGCCAGCGCTTCTCTCTCTCCTGCCGCCCCTCTCTGTTCCCGTAGAGACCCGGCCTGGTTGCCATGGAGACCAGGTGTTACACACGCTGCAGGCTCCGCCCAGGCTGCAACAGGACACATGTTGCACTACTTTGCCTTACCTGTACACTTGTCTTTGTTTCGCTTCGCCTAATACTTTTTCTCTCTTCCACGCTCTGAATGGAAAAACGCTGACGAATGTATGCAAACCCACAGGCCAAATCTCAACTGGGACGATGCGGGTTTGAAAATACTGCAACTGGCCTAACTTCTGTTTGATGATATGTTCAGTGTAGACTTTGTTGTTAGCCTTGTATATTGTGTCTCTCTCTTTTGTTTAGTTTTTTTCTTTGAATGCTCTAAATTCTGAAGGATATAAATATATTAATGCCTGTAATATAACCTTTGTATAAGACATTGAAGATAAGGAAGCTTGAAGATTTCGTCATGACTTGTTAACATATCAGACTGTTTTTAATCGAAAAAGTAATCGCTTTATCTTTACTAGAAATGTGAAGAAATCGAAACATTTCATTAAATCGATTTGAAGTTGATGTTTATGTGCATTTGTTTGATCTGTTTTTGATCAGTGTTTCATGATTCATGGGTAGTTGCTGTGTTCTGCAATTTTATGTTATTTAAACTGTATTTATAATTTTGTTACAATTAACAGTAAGAATTTTTAGGAATGACAAAAACGCCACATTCAAAAAAAAAAAGATATTGAAGCAGGGTTTAACTTTGAAAAAGTTTTCTCTGAAATTGCTAGAAAATTGGACTAATTATTACAGGTAACGTTGAATTAAACATGCAATTTTGAAGTATAAAGGCTGAGGCCCTGTCCACACGAACACGGGTATTTTCAAAACCGCAGCTTTTTCTACGCGGTTTGGCCGTTCGTCCACACGCAAACGCAGCACCAGGTCACTGAAACCGAACATTTTTGAAAACGCCTGTCAGGGTGAAGATTTTCAAAAACTCCGGTTGCAGTGTTATCGTGTAGACCGCGAAACCAGAGTTTTTGGCTTGTGACATCGGAGCATGCACCGTTATCTCCGCCTACTGGAAACTTTTTCAGGCTTCTGATTGGCCAACATGGCTTTGCGGTTGAGATTATATCGACAACTGTTGGTTTGGCATGCTCTTGACAGTGCTTCATAGCATGCGTTTGCGTTTTCATGTGGACGGAGATTTTTTTTAAAACGGAAGGAAAAACTCAGTTTATAAAAATACCCTTGTACGTGTGGATATGGCCTGAGATAGTATTTTTCTGGTAGAGTATATTCTAATAATATTTAATTACAACTTTAAAAAAAAATTATTTTACTGTGTCTTTAAGTGAACTGCAACAAGGGTGGTTAAAAATGTTGGAAAGTAAATGGTACCCTGTTCCACTAACTAAAATAGACACTTCAGTTTTAACCTAAATGTTGAATAAATATTAAATGTATTTACAATGTGTCCACTATATCTCCTCTTTGAAGGTATAGTTGACCCAAAAATCAAAACACTGTTGTTATTTCCAAACCTGTATGAGTGTCTTTCGTCACAAAATGAAAGTCATTGGGGTCCAAATAGCTTCTTCTGAGTTCAGCGAAAGAAATTAAGTCATTTTTGTCATTATCGAAGCCCTGTGTTTTATGCATGAAATACAACATTGATCAAAACAACATGTATGATTTTTTTTTTCTTCCTTTTCTTGCCAATTGCACTCTGAACATGCATAAAGTAATGGTTCTGCATAAACTGAATCAAGAGTAAAATCATTAGTGAGAAACAGACGACGGCTGTGGTGTGTGAACTTTACACATGAATATAATGTGCACAGAGGATTCAGTAGTTTAAACAATCAGATGCTCATTTTGTGAAAATCACCCTGATGACATCATTGATATTTGATTTGTATCCGCTTATTGTATCCTATATACTGAAATATTGACTCTTTCAGGAACATGTTATGTGAGTAGAGCACAAGATGGATTGGTTGCTTCTTTAGAGATGTTTCATGGTCAAAATTTAAAAAAAATATCGTACAGACCAGGCACAGATAGAAAAATGGATCCCACTTGGCTCAGAATCAATAATGCCTGTGCTGAAATGCATTACAGGTTAATGCCCTTGTACATTTCTGAGTTCATTATTACAAAGGCTGTTGTCACTCTTTAAATGATTTCAGCTGAATTTACAGTGGGCCAACTACATTATTTCATTGATCAAGCAGAGCTTACATGGTGACTTCAGAATGACTTGACCAGTTTAAAATCAATACTGCTGCCATTTAAAGCATGGAAAGGGTTTGGGATAGAAACTGTAAAGGTGTGAATTGCCAGAGGTTGGCTTTATATCATTTGACCTGTGGAAAAACACCTTGTAGCTGCAATAACAGTTGGTCATGCTGCACATTAACTTTGCAGTAGTAGACTGCTCAAAAATAAAAAACACTTCTACAGCCCTGCTTTGTTCTTAACATCATACATTTCTGTTAACTGTATAAATCTGTAGATAAATACAGGATGGAACCTTTACGTGTGCATGGAGTGACTGGCTCTTGGAATTACAATAATGTGCTCATATTGTGTTTAACGTCCAAACGAAAGGTGGTTGCCATTTACAGTTCCCATATTAAGCGATAGTAACTGTCTATGTTATTCAAATAAACTATTGTATAAATAGTACACGGTTGGGATTGTGTGGCAAATATGCACGAACAAGAAGCTTTTTCATTTTGAAAATATTTTATTTGAGTAGACAACACGGACGCACATATAAAGCGCTAGGTAGCAAACATTTAGGAAAATAAGCCGTATACGTAGAAAAAGGTTGCATCTATAAGAGCTTCACGTTTCAAGGGAGCGCACAAAAGCCAAGACAAGATGATCTCCACACAACGATTCGACTGCAACATGTGACACGGGAGAAAAGTCACCCAATAATTTATACAAAGCCATTGAAAATAAATAAATACATAAATAAAATATTACGAACAAACATATTACAATAGTTTTACATCGTGATAGTAAGCTGTAATTGTGTGCCGACATTCAAAAACAATCGTTACACTGAAGAGTTCTTAAGGCAGTAGTTTGATGTATTTCTCTAAAGGCATTTCTGGCTACTAAAGGGAAAGTTTTCAAGATTTGTTGATGTAGT